ATTTTGTTTTTGCATTACTTCATATGAATTTTAGATATTTGTAATTTTAATATTTGTCATTTCTTATGGTACAATAATATTCCATTACATTAATATCCAAAATTTGTTTAACTGTTCCTAATCTTTAAATACATAGGTTGTTTCTAGGGTTTTTTTCCTATTAGAATAATGCTGTTAGAAATATTCTTATGCAGATAGATTTTTCCCCTCCTGAAATAGTATGCTTAGAGTATAGTCTCAGTAATGGGATCAGTGAACCAAAGGACATGAATAGCTTTGTAGCCATTATCTTCCAAAAAAGATTGTCCCAATTCACAGCTGTACCGATAGAATAAAATATGACTGTCTTGCTATAGTCATCTTGGTATTGAATTTTATTCTTTTTAACCATTGCTGCCTATGTAATTGGTGTGAAGGTGTATCCTGGAATGTTTGAGATTGAATTTTCTGATTACTAGGGAATTTTAACACCCTTTCACGTGGTTGTTGATAATTTGTGTTGCTTTTCTTTTCTTATTTGATTTACTTTATTGAAATTTTCTTAACTAGACAATCCACAAAACAATAAATCAAGCACTGATTAGTAGCATTTGTGGATTCCTCAAATGTAAATGCTTATACTGAAAATTTAACAATTGGCTCCTTTGAACTAGTTCAAGCTGGCTTCAGTGTAATACTCTTGCGCTTGATCCTATGTAAAAAAGCACATCTCATGCTCTTTTAAGGAAATACCTGTTCAGATCATAGCCAAAATCCATATTAGAATCATGTAAAATTTATGCTGGAGAAATGTTCCAGGCTAGGCCTCAGGCCAGTTCCTGGTAGTTTAGTTTCAACATTGCAACAAAATGAGATATTTTTAGGTCATTCAACATTCAACAAAAAAAGATTTACTTAGATATAGCTACTATAATATAAGGCTTGGTGGTCTTGAGATCACCCTGACAGTTTCCCCTTAAGAGAGTCAGTAGCTTAGAATTTAGGCATGGAAAAGTACTAACAGTAATATTCTTATTATAATAGCAGAGGAGGATACTCAACAAGGATGAGCACTGAGGACATCTTGGGTTGATTCAGCGAAGCAAAACTACCTTGCTTGAGTTGTCCTTCAAGATCTACCAGCCAAGTATCAGATTGGTTCCACTGCTCCTCAAAGCTGCTTTTTGCTCAGATAATCAGGAAGTGATGTCAATAGCCTGAGCTAACTAAAATTCAAAATGCAATCAATATATTTTTTCTTAATAATATTTTATTTTGACACAACTACATGTAAAAATAATTTTTAGCATTTGTTCCTTTTTTTTAAAGTTTTAAGCTCCAAATTGCATCCCTCCCTCCCTCTCCTCTTCCCTCCCTGAGACAGTAAGCAATATGATATAGGTTATACATGTGCCATCATGTAAAACATTTCCATATTAGGAAGGAAGGAAGGAAGGAGGGAGGGAGGAAAAGAAAGAAAGAAGGAAAAAAGAAAGGAAGAAAGAGACAAATAGTATGCTTCAATCTGTATTCAGACACCACCAGTTCTTCCTCTGGAGGCAGACAGCATTTTTCACCCTGAGTCCTTTGGGATTGTCTTGGATCATTGCATTGCTGAGAATAGCTAAGTTATTCACAGCTGTTCATCATAAGATATTGTTGTTGCTTGTGTACAATGTTCTCCTGGTTCTGTGCACTTCATTCTGTATCAGTTCATTAAGTCCAGGTTTTTCTGATATCATCCTGCTTCTCATTTGTTAGAGCACAATATTGTATTGCTTTTCTTGAGGACTGTTTATATTTTTGACCACTTATTTATTAGGAAATGAATATTTTCTTATAAAGTTGTGTCAATTTCTTCTTAAGGATTTTAAAGTCAAATTTTTCTAAGAAAAGTTTTTAGCAAACTTTTAGTCATTCTCCCTACCCTGTTTCTTTTCTTTTTGTATTGGGTACATTGCTTTTTGTTATGTACTCTTCTGCCTCATCAGGGTGTAGTGGCAACCCTGAATTCTATAAGGTTATGCCAGTGGAGCACAAGCTCTGTTAAGTTCTACTACACTGAAAGAACTTCAAGTATTGCATCAGTGACAAGCTGCTTTCCAAAGGCCAGCCAACCTATGTAATGCATACAGTACAACAGCCTCTTGGTGATGAATTCCTGACCATGGCAATTCTTTATTTCCTTATAACAAAATTAATCTATTTTGTCTCCTACTTGTGCTAGGAGTTTTGCACCTCTTCACAATGTAAGATTTCATTATCTTTTAATTTTTTAATTATTTCAAAAAGACTTAGATTATTGATCCACTTGAAAGTAATTGTGATATTTCATAAAACCTTCCCAACAGCTTTTATTGAATAAAGAATTTGTTCTCTAGTGTTTTGTGATCTTAGGTTTATCAAACAATAATCTACTACATTCATTTTGTTCTAGTTCTGGGTTATCTAAACCCATGGGAATGGAAGGATTTTTCTATACTATTATGAAAAATATTTATTGGAATCTATAGACTTTTCCATTACTTCTAATGGGAATATGTTAACAGCCTTCCCAGTAAAATTGAGGATTTCACCAAAAAATTAGCATAATAAACAGCTTCTAAAAAATAGAAGGATATAAGATAAATTCACAAAAATTACCAACATTTCTGTATATCACTAACAAAAAACCCCAAAACTGATGAATACCAATTTCAGCAATGATAAAATATATAAAATATTAGGGCATTAATTAGCCATCAAGATACAATAAGACCTTTATGAATATTACTTTTAAACTTTTTTTTTCAGAAATAAAGGAGTCATTAAATAGTTGAAGATTCAGTGACTATAGTTAGGTAAAGTAAATGTAATAAATGTAGTATTAGAAACCAAATTAATTTTCATATTTTCTATACCATCAATCAACATAACCATGAGATCCTTCACAGAATGAAGTCATTTAATAAAAAATGCATAAGGAAAAACAAAATTTAAATATATCAAGGGAAATTGTATATTCTTAAAAGGAAGGAAATGAGAGTAGATTCAGCAGAAGGTGTTAAATTTGGAGCCAGAGTACCCTGGATATGAATAAAAACTTTGCCATGTGTATGACATTGGGTATGTCACAACTTCTTTAGGCCTCAGTTTTCTCATCTGTAAAATAGGAGGATTAAGTAATTATTTGTTAAAAGAGAATACTTTTATTTGTTGTGGGGAAGTCAGTGAATAGTAATAGAAATGTAATAAAAAAGGGGGGGAAAGCATCTTGAAATACTAAAAAATACACAACAATTTTGGGCATGAACAACAAGATGAAGTACTGGACATTTTCTCTGATCCTCATGACCTCTCAAAAATTCCAAATAAGATTTTAAAATAGAAAAAAACATTTATTTATGTTTCTTCCCACATGCACACAAGCCCACTGCCAGGCACATGCACATTGACACAGAGACAACATGCATACACATACAGAAAAAGACAGGAACAACACAAATAATTTAAATTAGTTGGGATTACTTAAAATGAGCTTTGCTCTAAAAATAAGATAGCTTTTGAGCTTCTAGATTTGTCCCATGTGTCTTGATTAGTGAAGTTTCCTGCTTTGAAGTTGTCTTTTTTTTTTTTTTGGCTATTAGAAGGAAATCAGAGTCAGAGAAAGGCAGCTATAACTAATTAGATTTACTTTGAAAAAGGAAGTAAAAATATTTGGAATAGCTCTAAATTTATATCAACATAAATATGAACACTGGCCAAAATTTGATCTGTGTCCTCTTCCATTGAATTTATTTAGGAGTATTGGGAGGGACTTAGGGAAGATAAATACAGGTACTGGGAAACATAAATTACTCTCTCTTCCTAGGATAAATGCTTGTTAATAGACTGATTCTAAAGGTGGGAGTAATACACAAGGCTTTGATGTACAAAACTCCAAAACTAAGGAAAGGAGTGAGAAATTGGGAAGGAGGTTGAGAGTAAGGGGAAAGGATATGGTGGGAAAAGGGTTGGCTTAAAGTAGATTAAGCAAAAACAACTGAAGAGACAGTGTACTATTACAGAGGAAAAGAAACAAATAAAAAATCTTATTCAGAAAAAACCCAAAAATTCACGCAAATGGAGGAAAATGTAAATCTAACTCGTAACTTTAGGTGTGAATGGATTAAATAATCCAATAATATGAGAGTTACATATTGTATAAGAAAACAAAATTTTATGATTACTCACAAGAAATAGATCTAAAAATCAAAGCTATCCACAGAATAAAAATGAAGGGTTTGAAAAAAAATTACTATGCATTAAATGAATCCAAAAAAGCAAGTGGTTTTGGAAATGCTATCAATAGCTATAAGATTAGAAAAAGAAATTAAAAGTATAATGATAGGTAAAGAGAAGATAAAACTATCCCTATTTACATATGACATGATAGTCTACTTAGAAAATTCAAGGGAATTAGAAAATATATTAATTATACTATTAATTAATAACAATAATAGCTTTGGAAAAGTTGCAGGTTACAAAATAAGTTCTCAAAAATCAACAAAATTTCTACATAATGATAAAATCTAAGAGGCAATAATAGAAAGGGAGTTCCCATTCCAAATATCTACAAAACACATAAAGTATTTGGGGATGAATCTACCAAAACATATAAGATACTTATACAGATTCAATTACCAAGTGCTCCTAAAGAAATAAAGAGAAGGGAAAGGAAAATATCCAGAAAATGAAAATTATATAAAAGCAAAAGATACCTATGGGAAAAAATGTAAGTAGTTATGGACAGAGCTGGACTAGACCCCTATCCAGGTCTCCTTGTTCTTGTGCCAATGCTGTCTCCACTATGTAAGTTTGTCTTATTCCTAGTTGCTCCTAAGGAGATCATCAAGTCTATTGAAGGAAGGCTGACCAGCCTCATCTCCTCAGGGCCCCAGAAAACTTCTTCCCAGCAATTTGCTCTCCAGTTTGAGGGTTAGAGATACAACTTAGAGTAGTAGAAAGAGGAAGTGAGGAAGGAAAGAAGGGAGGGAGGAAGGAAGGAAGGAAGGAAGGAAGGAAGGAAGGAAGGAAGGGGAAAAATGTTCTCCAATGATCATAACAAAACATTTTTGAGACAAAAGACTATATACTAATGAAACAAAGACTGACACATGCAGGGCATGCCTTGAATAGCATCTCCCTCACGTGGAAAGGCTGGAGAGCCTACTCCTGGAACAGTAGTGATAATGCGTAATAGACTTCTATTATAGACCTTGGAGATGCTTTGGAGCATGTGTAGGCATTCCATAACTGGTTTTTGGTCAGCTAACTGCATGATGAATAGGAAGCTCTTTGACTAGCTGTGGAGGAATCCACAAAGGACTAGTGACCACAGACTCAGTCTTTTTTTTTCTCCTGCTTTCTCTTGATTTGATTCCTTTGTTGGTGGAGTCTAGAGGAGATAATGCCATAATGGAAGAGATCTTGAAACTTCTCTCCATCACAGCTGATATGTGACTCTGTGAAATGGGTTTTAGTCCTTGGTCTCTGTATTTGCTCTTTTCTGTTTTAGGTGAAGGGATTGATGACTGACCTTGTGAATTACAAAATGTTAGGAAAGTGAGTCTCCAGGCATCATAGTCTGTATTTTGCAGCCAGTTCAGCATTGATGACCTATGGAACAAACAATAATTTTAGCATATGACCTCTGGGACCCAACCTATCAATAACTAAGATACTTTTGGATATGAGCTTGGTGGGGTCAATGTCATATAGTAACTAAGTTAAGTTTGAACTTATTCTTCCCACAGATCCAGAGGAAATAAAAGTGTGCCCCCAAAGTGTTGTAGAGGGAAAATTTTTTTTTCTTATAAATCTTCAAAATAACAACTCTTTTGTAAAAGCTAATCGATATTAATTGGTTACATGAAACTGGAGCTCTAGTCATTTACTGGCACTTACCAGTGGAAGGAGCACAGCTGGTAGGGGCTCCAGTTGGTGATATTAGAGAAGAGATGTTTCTAAACCTCTGAAGTTACTCCTAGAACCCCGAAAGGAAGATGTATCAGACCTTGCTTTAGGAGAGTGAGGACAGAGTATACTCATTATACTAAGGACGGGGAAGGAGTTCTGTTGGTCCCTTCCTAGCACAGGAAGGAAAAGGGAGCAGCAGAAGCCTAAGCCCCTAGAGACACACTCCCAGCTGAGAGTTTTCTATTCCACAGGCAATGATAACAACCAGAGAATTATATCTAGAGAGTAGCCTTTTGAAAATGTCAAACCAAGACATAGTGGCCTGGATAATGAACTAAAATTTCACAAATTTGTATACCTTTCTGTTTTAGAAATAACAGGTAAATACCAAAGGTCAATGATAGAGAACTTAGCCAATTCTCAGGCAGTAAAGTAAACCATGGTATGTTCATGACTCCAAATCTTTAGCCTGATCCTGGCTTTGCCCAGTACAGACTCACTGGGAAACTGACATCACTGTTCTTATGACTCAGGAGCAGGAGGAAGAGTAAAAGCTTTGGAAATCAAAGATTCCCACCCTCATTCTTTCAGTGAACATTCTGTATATTAGTCCATGGTAGTACCAAGAAGGATTTTAAAGGAAAGCTGAGAATAGAATTTTTTTTCTTTTTTTGGTGTTTTTTGTTTTTTTATTTTCTTTTTTTTTTAAACATGTGTTTTTAAAACTTTGGGTTAACCAAATTTTCTCCCTTCCTCCCTCTCCGCCCACCCTCATTGAAAAGGCAAGCAACTTGATACGGGTTATACATGTGTAGTCATGCAAAACACTTCCATAGTAGTCATGTTGTGAAAAACTATATTTTCCTTGATCCTATCCCGCCCCCCATTTATTCTATTCTCTCTTTTGACCCTGAGCCTCCTTAGAAGTGTTTGCTTCTGATTACCCCCTCCCCCAATCTGCTCTCCCCTCTGTTATCCCCCTACTCTCTTGTTCCCTTCCCCCCCCCATTTTCCTGTATGGTAAGATAGATTTCCATTCCCAGTTGAGTGCGCATGTTATTCCCTCCTTAAGCCAAATCCTATGAGATTCACTCATTCCCTCTTACCTTCCCCCACTTCCCCTCCACTGTAAAAGCCTTTTCTTGTCTGTTTTATGTGAGATAATTTATTCCATTCTACCTCTCCCTTTCTCCTTCTCCCAGTATAATCCTCTCTCACTCCTTAATTTTATTCTCCAGATATCACCCCTTCATCTTCAACTCACCCTGTGCCCTCTAGTCATCCATCTATCTATCTATCCATCTACATACATACATATAATTTTTCCCCTACAACTACCCTAATACTGACAAAGGTCTCATGAGTTACAAATATTATCTTTCCATGCAGGAATATAAACAGGTCAACCTTAATAAGTGTCTTATGATTTCTCTTTCCTGTTTCATGTTCTACTTGAGTCTTGTATTTGAAAGTCAAATTTTCTATTCAGCTCTGGTCTTTTCATCAAGATTGCTTGAAAGTTCTCTATTTCACTGAAGTCCATTTTTTTCCCTAAAGGATTATGTTCAGTTTTGCTGGGTAGGTGATTCTTGGTTATAATCCTATCTCCTTTGCCCTCCAGAATATTATATTGCATGCCCTGTGGTCTTTTAATGTAGAAGCTGCTAAATCTTGTGCTATCCTGATTGTGTTTCCACAATACTTGAATTGTTTCTTTCTGGCTGCTTGCAATATTTTCTCCTTGACCTGGGAACTCTGGAATTTGGCTACAATATTCCTAGGAGTTTTCATTTGGGGATCTCTTTCAGGAGGTGATTGGTGGATTCTTTCCATTTCTATTTTGCCCTCTGATTCTAATATATCAGGGCAGTTTTCCTTGATAATTTATTGAAAGATGATATCTAGGCTTTTTTTTTTTTTAATCATGGCTTTCAGATAGTCCAATAATTTTTAAATTCTCTTTCCTGGATCTATTTTCCAGGTCAGTTGTTTTTCCAATGAGATATTTCACATTGTTTTCTATTTTTTTCATTCTTTTGGATTTGTTTTTACAGTGTTTTGATTTCTCATAAAGTCACTAGCTTCCAATTGCTGTATTCTAATTTTTAAGGAAGTATTTTGGACTTCCTTTTCCATTTGGTCAATTTTGCTTTTTAAAGCATTCTTCTCCTCATTGACTTTTTGGACCTCTCTTGCTATTTGGGTTAGGCTATTTTTTAAGCTGTTATTTTCTTCAGTATTTTTTTGGGTCTCCTTTAGCAAACTGTTGACTTGTTTTTCATGATTTTTTTGCATCACTTTCATTTCTCTTCCCAGTTCTTCCTCTACGTCTCTTACTTGTTTCTCAAAATCCTTTCTGACCTCTTCCATGACCTGAGACTGATTTGTGTTTTTCTTGGAGGCTTTGGATGTAGGAGCTTTGACTTTGTTGTCTTCTTCTGGTTGTATGTTTTGATCTTCTTTGTTACCAAAAAAAGATTCTATGGCCTGACTTTTTTTTTGCGAGGTTTGGTCACGATCCCAGTCAATTACTTGAGTTTTAAGCTCTTTGTTAAGGTAGGGATCTGCTTCCAGTGTGGAGAATGTACCATCCCAAGCTTCAGGGGTTTTGTGCAGCTGTTTTCAGAGATACTTCTAAGGATCTGTAAATTTTCAGTTCTTCCAAGGTGGTATGATAAGGGGTGAGGTGTTTACTCCTTTCCTGGCCTGTGCTCTGGTCTATGAGTGACCACAAGCACTCTTTTCTGCCTTGGAACTGTGAGGAGGATTTCCTCTCCACCACCACTACAAGCTCCATCACATCAGCACTCCATCTTGCCCCAGGATCACCACCCAGAACTGTGACCCAGATCCAAGTACAGGTAAAGCAAGAGATTCTTGCCTCAGCACTGGCAAAGAGATCCCTGCAATCCCCCTCTGATCAGCCACTCAATTCCCCCTCAGTTTGTGGGCAAACAGCTCTGGAAAGAGCCGCCACCCTGGGGCTGTGCTGAGGGGCTGGGGCTGGGACCAAACTTCTTTCTCTCACTGCAGTCACAGACTTTTATCACTGACCTTCTAAGTTGTCTTTGGGGTTCATAGGTTGAGAGGTCTGGAAACTGCCACAGCTGCCCATGATTCAGTCTTCTGAGGCCTGTTCCAGGTTCACTGAGGCCTGTTTTGCCTGCGTGCCCACGCTGAACTGCGTTCCTCTCCCAGCTTGCATAACAGACCTTTCCAATCAAACATCCAGGCCGTCTTGGGCTGGAAATTTGTTTCACTCTGTCTTTTTGTGGGTTCTGCTGCTTTAGAATTTGTTTAGAGCCATTTTTTACAGATATTTGGAGGGGTTTGGGGGAGAGCTCAAGCAAGTCACTGTTTTTACTCTGCCATCTTGGCTCTGACCCCTAAACAGGCTTCCAGAATAGAAATTTGACCAGCTAATTCAATGATCTGGTACATTATATTTCTTCCTACCCCTTACCCTAGAGTGTGAAGGAGTTGGCTGGAGGTGGGTTCTGGGTCTTGGGATTAAATGAATGGTAGATTTTGGACACATCCCACTTTTGAATCCCTTTCCCATGGGTGTTGTGGATGTAATACTCTTCTAGGTTTCTGTAGCATAATCCCAGGAGTTAGGGCCCCTCAGTTGTCTTATACTAGCTGACTTTCTCATGTGATCTTCTTCTGCTGCTCTCCTTTCCTCCTTCTCATCCCTTTTAACAGAACAGTTCCCACCCAAGATGACTTTGGCTTTAGCCTGGTTGCTGTCTCTGTCTCCATCTCTGTGTCTCTGTTTCTGTGTCTGTGTCTCCATTTCTCTCTCTGTCTCTGTGTCTCTGCCTCTGTGTCTCTGTGTCTGTCTTTCTTTGTCTCGGTCTCTCTGTCTCTATCTGTTTCTCTTTCTCAAAACCAGGCCCATCTCCTCATCTTATCTCCCTCATATGTGATTCCAATACTGCCCCAAAATGTCCATGCTATCTCGTCTTATACACCTTACATCACTATTTATTTGTTTTCTCCTATCTCCAGTTCCCCATACAGAGCCCCTACCAGCAATTGTCGGGTGCAGGTGTGCTCACAACTGAACAGAAACCCTGACTAACTAAGGGAAACATCTGAACCCAACCAGCACAAGTGTTGTCAATAACCTTATTCCTCTAATCTCACGGGTGGCTTCACCACCAACTGCTGAAAATCTATTTATTTAGAAAATTCTCCATCCTTCACTTTCCTGCCTATGTTTCCCATACCTTTTAGCACAATTAAAACATCTTTGCCTTCCAGGCAGGGTCAAGGTTGCTTATTTTAAATGAAAGCAAAGTAGTTTACCTGGGATCTAGGCATTTAAATGTTACTTGGAATACATGGCAGCAAAAAAAGAACCCCAGAAACAAAATGGGTGCCTATCTCTTGGGTATTGGCTGAACAAGCTGTGGCATTGGAATGTTATAGAATATTGTATCATAATAAATGGTGAATATGAGGAACATATAGAAACATAAGAAGATTTTATTCTTTTTTTGAATTTTTTTTTTTTGCAATTGGGGTTAAGTGACTTGCCCAGGGCCACACAGCTAATAAGTGCCAAGTGTTTGGTCTGAGGCTGGATTTGAACTCAGGTTCTCCTGACTTCAGGGCCAGTGCTCTATCCATTGCACCATCTAGCTGCCCCAGAAACATGGGAAGATTTGCATGAACTGATAATAGAATGAAGAGAGTAGAACCAAAAAAGCAATATCTACAATAAGGATAACAATGTCAAAAATGACAATGCTAAAATGTTGTTGAGCTCAGATTAGCACTGGCCAATTATACTGCTGGAGAAAAGAGGAAACACAACTCCTTTCCTTTTCTCAGTAGAGAGGGGACTATGGCTATGAAATAAAGCATATACAAGTAGATACAGTTGCTTTGATGGCTGAGTTTTATCTATTTTTTTTCTTTGTTAAAGAAGAGATGTGATTGGAGGGATTTTTTAAGCATAAAGTTATTGGTTGGGAAATTAATTAAAAGTCAAGTCTTCTGACTCTTACTCAGGACAATGTATATTTAAACAACAGTTTAGGAGCAGGGTTAGAAACTTCC